TCAAGACAGCCTGAGATCTGCAGTTAATGATTATCCCCTTTCTGAATTTTGGCAACTTTATTTGTCTAAGCAGGACCTCATCAAACAATGATTGTTAAATTTCTGAAGTCGTATACTGACACAAAGGTCATTGGCTAAAACGATAATAAATGAGGTTGTATAGTTTGAACAGCTACTTTTGAAAGCTGTGTCCTAGGTTTAGGGAAAACTAAACACTAAACTCTAAGAGCTTATTGTTCACCTTTGTGTACTATTCAAATTTTCATTCAAGTCCATGGCTTTTTATTGATACCAAATGGCAAGTTCCACAGAAGTGAGGAAGCTGAGCTCAATGTATACCTAATGCAACGAAACTGCTCACTATCTAGTGAGTATGTAAGAACAGGCATGAATCTCAAAAATTAAGATCCTAAAAGGTCACAGTCACTTATAAACTGGATTAGCATATTGGATCTACACTGGCATAATAAATCTCAAAACTATCCATGAAAATTTGGAAAGAGTCTACTTGTTTAGTTTTTCAAATTCAGGTCTTTTTCTTATGGTTGATTGCAGTCTGAAAAAGTGTGCTTCTGTGTTTTGTTTATTAAATCTGGGTATATAATGCTGTGGAAGAAGTTAGGAACTTTTTGCAGTCATGGCTGGGAAGTTGTATTTAATAAGTATAAAACAACTTCTTCATTGTTCAGATTTTTTTTTTTCTTCAATTGTTAACAAAGTTTTACCTTTCTGTAAACCTAGATGCACTCAAATGTGGATGCATCATTTATAGCTGCCACATTACAGCCTCCTGAACCAGTTGTATTTCTAGGTATTTCTCACTCAAAACTGTATTTAGAAAAGAATCAGTAAGATAGTTGCTTTGCATGTACTCACATACGCTGCTGAAGTTTGACTAGCATCAGGAGGAACGTATTTCTCTGAGTACTGCTCATGCTCCTACTTGTCTCAAGCTCCTACTTCTGGTACAGTGGCTGCCTACTTTATAGGTTAAAGTCCTTCACGTCTATTGTACTAAAACTGTTCATAAAGAACAAGGCATCAAGAGATTTATTCTGACCACTCTTGTATAATTCCTATGCTTATTGAACCTAAGTAGTAACCAGTTATGCACCGTATAAATAGGCATCATCAGACTCCCAACAACTTAACAAATACTATGTGTAGAACAATATATACGCAATTTTATGATTTCCGTAACTGAAGCTAGAGGGTTTTCTCTTTTAAGCTAGAGGGTCAAGTACTTGTAATACTTCTGGATCCAAAGGATTGGTAATGAATAAGATTTACCTGCATAAGTATATTCTAATGATCTGATTTTATCTCATTTTACTAGATTTTAGTTGTACTTGTTATCAGGCTTCTATTCAGTTTCAAAACTTCTGTTTTGGCTTTTCTTCTTCTGCAATTTTCTTTAAATAGTCCAAGTTTGCTTCAGTATTTTTCAAGCCAGATATTCTGTAAGAGTCACTTTTGAGCCTTTTTTTTGTAAGCTGATCTTTGACAACACAGAGAGTATTTCAAATAATAGGGTGGAAATGGTTTGGTATTTTCCTGCTTTTTGTCAAAATGTTTTTGTTTTTATAGGGGTGTATTTTCCTGGATCTTCATGTTCTGACTGACAACTTTTTTTTTTTTTTTTATAAGTAACTGTTTGTTTTTTTTTTTTAACTTGCTCTATAAAATTAATTTGACTATTTATCATATTTCTTCACTGAAGTGTTGCTGTGCCTTTTTTTTTTTAAAAAAAAAAAAGTGCAGTGATTGTTTGTTTCTGAAGAAACATCATCATGAATCAGTTGCTGCATTTCCAAAGATGTAGAGGTCTTGGAATTGTCTCAATATATATTTTTAAACTTTCTCTAAGATCCAAGAAGAAAAACACTTAAAAGATTTATCCCTGTAAGGAATCAGTCCAAAATTCATATGAATCCCAAACTAACTCTCCTTCAAATTTAGTCCGTGTCTGCAAACTTTCCCCTTTCTTGGATATGGACATGTTTAAAATGACAATCATAAAGGAGTTGGAAATGGGTTTCTTTGTTTTACCAGTTAACGTACAAATCATCTGCATAGAAGTAGGACAAACCTTAAGAATTTGCTATGTCTGGTTTTCTGCAGTCAGAGAAAGAGGCTCTTTTTTTTCCTTTTTTTTTTTTTTTTTAACGAGCCTAACTCAGATTCCGCATGGTCCTTGTGAAGCATGCACAAATTTTGCTATTTTTTTAGCTCCTGTTGCATAAAGAACACAGTATGTGAAATGAGTAATGCTATTCTACCTTAAAATAAAGATTTATAAGAATACTTGTGTGAATGTCATTGTTCAGTGAAAAAGTTCTAATTGCAGAATTCAGTGAATGTTTCACAATGATTAATCAATCTACTACATCTATTTTCTTGTTCTGGAAGCAGAACACCATTACAATGACAATTTATTGTATACTACAACACAATATTTACAATTGAAATGCTAAATGATAGAATTACTCTCAGACTTAAGGAAATCTAGAAATAATCATTTGTTTGTGGGCTTTTTTCTGCATTCCTTTTTAGAGTCTAATGTATGTGATTTGCATGGGCATTGTAAAGCTGGTTGTAGGACATTTCTGAGTGAGAGAAATCATTTGACATAATAGCAAATACCTTAGCAAATCTTCAAGCTGTTCTATTCAATATACAACATTATAATTTTGCCATATAGGGCACACAAAGGAATGATAAAAAATATGAGTTATGATGTGGTGATACTGTAAAAGAACTATGATTTTATAATGGATCTGAATCTGAAAAGAATAAAAATTATATGTAGTCTGTTTTCCTTTTTTTTTTTTTCTTTTTTCCAAACCACCATATTAAAATTTTATCACAGGTCCAAAAAAAATGAGTTATTTTATTGGAGGAGTCTGGTGAAGAAAAAAAATAAAATTATCCTAACACTCTATTTTACATTTGTATTCTTTCAAAATCAGTCTATGACTATTTATTCTTGTCTTGTGAAGTTGCAGAAGTAATTTTTGGAGCTCTGTTTTAAAATCAAATATTGAAAATGAGCCTGAGGTCAATAAAAAGCTAAATTATTCAGCACCAGGAAGAACAAAACATTCTATTCTACTGTTATTGTTGTTGTTAAATATTGAAATAAAATTTCTGAGTATTTCTGAAGTAGGGGAATATCTTATCTTTACAAAGAAAAGTGCGAGTCTAAAACCCACTTAAAGGCTAGTTTGTTTATTTTTTTTAAACACCGTTCTCTTTTTAAATTGAAAAGGAATTATGACTAAAGCCTTTCTTGTGTTGAACTACTTATGTAAAACAAGGTAAAGATGCCAAGAACTTGATATTTAAATAACACACAACCAAAATAACTTCAGAAAAACAAAGAACACAAGCATTTAAAAACTAAGTTCAACATTTCATTGTTCTGAGAATTTCTCGAACTATGAATGGTGCACCTTCCAGTTCAAAACTAGAAGCATGTGTTGAAACACGCAGGCAACTATGCCTTTTTGCTATTGGCAGAACAGAAATTTTAGTGAAGACACCTTTTCATATCTAGATGATGCCAGATGTTTTGTATCTACAGATGCCACTGTATCAGAGATGACCTAGTATAGCTTTCATATACTTCACAGTAAGTATATAGAAACAAAATGTTAGTCCTATCCTGCTCAGCTACCACAAGAAGGGGCAGATAGTACAATCAGATAAATTGATTTTAGTTTCAAAATGAAAAATGAGTAGAAATGTTGAAGTACAATTGTGAAAATGTTTATGAAATATTTTCATGAATCTACCTTACAGTTTCAGTAAGAATAATATTCAAAATAGGCTGTAATTCTTTTTTTTCTTTGTTATTAATCAACCTTTTTCTGTTACACTTCCTCTGCATTTTTACCGGCCAGAAGATCTTTATGAGAAACTGTTTTGATTGAAGATATTATGAGGAATTAAGAAAATAACATTTTACTGAAGAAATGACTTTTTTTTTTTTTTAGTCAGAGTAAGCCTACTTAAAATACACTTGATGGGGGAATATTGGCTTTTGTGAAATTGAAAAAATTGTGTTTTTGCCTATAAGTGTAGGGTTGTTTTTTGTTTGTTTGTTTTTGCCTCTGTAAATACCCTTTTCATATACCATTAACAACCCATTTCCTCTCTTTTATGATAATAAATATTTTTAATGTTCTAAATATTCCCTGAACGCTCAAGCTACATAAGGCGTCTACATGGTGGATCTTTCAAGACAGCTCCTGCTGAAGTCTAGAAAATTTCTTAGGTCTTCATGATTTTTTTTTGGTTGGCTCATTTGAATTCAAACCTCTAACATGCTTTGTCTTTACAAGTACACTACAAACTAAAGTTTCTGGGGTTTATAAGACTTTTTGAGCCTTCATAAAGTGTAGTACTATCAGTTGTTTCAGTTAACAGACTTTTGCTATTTTTTTTCCTATTCATAGAAACAAAAGGAGAATTTGCATTTTTGTCTTCATGTGATTATTGAGTGTTTTATGTGAGTCTTCATATAAAGTTAACAGAATTTAAAGAAGAAAGAAGAGAACAAGAATGTTCCAGTGGCTGGAAGAGGGATACAGAGATAGAAGGCAGACCATTTTTAATTTTTAATTATTTAATGAGCCTTCAAAATACAGTGTCCTTGCACTGTGTAATATAATACATTATATAGTATATATTAGTATATATGTATTATTATAGTAGATATAGCACATCCCAAAGTATAATCAATGGTCACTGTCAAGGATACCCCTGTATTTCTTCTCTGTTGAGTGTTGATGACTAATTTGTAAGTAAAAATTAAATCTGGGTAAGACTGACATACTACAAGATGATATCAGACAGTAGTCCACACCAATTAGTACAGTTCTCTTTCACGAGAGATCTGTCAGCAAAAATGTACTATTGAGATTTCTGTTGATTTGTCCTTTTAAAACTTTATTTATTTATTTATTTATTTATTTATTTATTTATTTATTTATTAACAGCAGGATGTGATACTGGCATGGGAGATGGCAGTTTTCCATAGATGACAGTGAATTGTATAGCAAGGTTATGGATGCCGTCACAAGGACAAACCAGCAAGGAAATAAAAGATACAAGAGCGACCATGCAACAAGAAACAAATGGAAAGGTTTACATTCTTTAAAGATGTGGATCACCATGCTGTGTTTGAAGCTATAGGACTTTGCAAAGAATTTTGCTTGAAGAGACCAGCAAACACCAGAGATTGAGGTAAGCATTCTTGCTCTGAGCACTGAGGAGGTGGGGAACAAGCAGGTGATGGAAAGTTGTAGCTCTTGTGATGATGGTAGAGACAGAATAAAGCCATCTGGTAAAGACAGCTATCACAAAGAGAGTTATGTTCATAACTCCATCCATTTTATGCTGCTTGGCACACAATTAGACTGCAGTAAAGCAATGGTTAAGAGTACTTGTATAACATGCAGTGTTACGGGGAGTGCAATCCCAATCTTTTTCTAGCTCCCTGTTCAGCCAGTGGAAGTTTTTCCTCCTCCCTCTGCTTGTAAGGCAATTATTTTAATTCAACAGCTTTCAATGCTACAAAGATGACTTCAGTGGAATGAAACTGTTCTTGTGGAGTTGAGATTGTATACAGTTATGCTTTTCTTCTCTTGGTGAGATAGCACGCATCATGAGTTAGGAGCTGCATTTGATACTTGTTGTATAACCATGCATACCACAGAAGATGCAGCTCACCATTTTGAAAGGTATACTTTTAGCAGCCTGCAGCACACTTATGTCTGCTGCTTTTCCAGTCATTAAATTGCAATCATTTTGCTGATGGCTTCCTTTCTCATAGCGAGGCCACACCATGTGCTGAAGTTGCAGACTACGCTTTTATGAAGAAAGTTAATTTCTAAAATTTGCAATGTTAGTTGCTTGTTCCTTTTCCTTTCCTAGTTCAGTATAAATGAATGTCAGAGAAGTTTCTAGCCTTGGAAAGAGTGCACATATGTAGACGGAAGAAAAATTCTACTTATGTTTAGTATTTCTACTACAAGATAGAAAAAAAGAGAGTGGGGAAACAACACAACTGACTGAATGCAGAAATACAGAAGGCAATTTAAAAGATTAAATTGAGCCTTAAATACGTTGCACATCTCAGAACTGTCATGGACTCTTCAAGTGACCCTATTGCAGCTAACATTGTTTAGAAAACGTGGCTGTCCTAGCATTACTTTATTGTTTGAGAGGTTTGCCAAGACATCATGCTTTCCACGTTGGGGCTGTAGCTTTGTGTTTGTTGATCCAAAAGCTGGTACCAATTCATCATTGCCACCATCTAAACGGTACCCAGTTCTTTCTATATTATGCTATTGTATAATATTCTTCTCATTCCTTAGCCTTATGATTCCTGTACTTTAAATTATGTGTATATTATATGAATCAATGGATGAAACCTCCATGCAGAAAGTTCTGAAATTGTAATCACAAATCTATATGTTTTTTACTAATAGCTTTAATAAAAATTTCAGGTCCTCTTCTTTTCTGTAGTTGGGGGGGATTTTTTTGTTTTGTTTTGTTTAGTCTGGAAGTGTTAACTGATGGATAAAATAGGTTTATGTTGTATTATTTATTTAGAAAATCTGCTGCCAGTTTCCATGGCTGCTCAGAGATCTAAAAAGGTGAATGAATTTTAAATATTTAAAATCTACCACAAACAGCGTGTATTGCAAACTCCAAAGATAAAGACAAAAATCATTTTATGGACATTTGTTAAGTCTAATGTTTAGAGGAAAGGAAGAGATAATATCTGTATCTTCAAGGAGGAAGTGAGTAATTCAGTTACCACATGGATGTTGAGAGCTATGCAGCGTTTATGGGAATAAGAGAGCAGAGGGAGCATATTAGCTTAATGTGGACGCTGAAACACTGTACCCATCTTTTCCCATATGAGAAGACGTATTTGCAGATGTGACCAATATTTCTTAAATGCCAAACTTTGCTAGCTTGCAAATTACAAGATGTTCATCATTTATCATATTATTTTAGACCACTCTTGTGGCCTGTCACTATAGCAACTCTATTGGCTTCTGCAGCAACACCTGGTCCTATCAGTAGCTATATACTGTGGAAGTTTGTTCATAAATAATCCATGTGAAAGTGAATGTAGCTGTCATGTTAATTTGTGGCTAACCTGGTTCTGGCAAGTTTATAATTATATTTATGAAGCAAATAAAGCAGATTGTTTGCTTTTTCTTCTGCAATGACTTAACACAAACTGACAGAAACAAATAAAAGAAGCTTTACTAATCACAGTCAAAGTAAAGAAGAATGTCATAGGGGTGTTCTAGATACCATCTCAGGGATATAGTCCTAAATCTGGCCTACTGTCTCTCTGACCTCCAGTTAATAGATAGTGTGGTGCTCTCGTAAATGTGTTTACCTTCAAAGCAAATACTATATACAAGGTTACTTGCTTAATTCCCTTCCTCCTATGCTACACTTTCCACCTTCAACTCTTTTTCTAATCTTGTCCACCCTGCTCTTAGAGTTGAAGATAACACTCGCAGAAGACATATAATAATCAATAACATTTATGTTTGAGAGTATTACTTTAAATCAAGAAAGACACAATTTGGTTAAGCTTCTGTTCACCATTCAGTCTAACTGTGGATAATAGCAAATTGAGAATTTGCAGCTCATTTGAGTTCCAGTATCTCCTCTCCAGATTTGGTTTTTGTTTTGTGGCAGACCTTTTCACACGTAAGTCATAGAATTGCTAGCTTTGGAATGAGTCAAAAATTGTGAACTGTGCTGTTTTTTTTTTTTTTTTTTTTTTTTTTTGTTTTGTTTTTTCATTGCTCTTGATAGCTGAATATATGGGTAGGAAGTAGCTGGAGAAGTAGAAAAGTCTGCAATTCTGCCTTTCTGTTGCTTCAACAGACATTTCAACTAGGAACTACAATATTGCTGGTATAAAGTAGTAGCAAATAATCTCAGACTGAAAATGAACTGTTTGAGAAACTGTAAAGAGAAAGTGTACCCACAGGACATAATATCCTCTGGAATTACTCCTTATACATCACTGTCTGATGAAAACTTTCTGATTGTATTTAGAGGACTAGAGTGTTATCTCTTTAGCCAAGATAAACAGCTAAGTTGACAAAATATTGATTGTCATCAGTAGGCATTGCAGTTTGATACTGAAAAAGATATGCAGATGCTGTAATTATAGTTTGTTGTCTCTATTCCTGTTTGGTAAAAAGACTATTTAAATAATTAGCAAATTTTATACTTCTTGTTTTGTTTTGTTTTTCTCCTGTCTGTAAAGGTATTCTGCACTCTATTTGCATTCCAGCAAAGGAAATGAATTTATTTCATCCATTAAAGGATTACTAATGCATATGTTTAATTTATTTGAGATCCTATTTTTACTATTTCCTGTATTACAGGATACCTTCATTAATTTATATATAACAATTTATCTGTTCATAATTATGCCAATTACTCTTTCTGCCATTCTCTGGAAAGAATTCTTTAAATACAGTATATATGACAAGACTTACAAAACAGAATAACCAAATAACCAGCTGAAACCAAAGGAAATCTTTTTTTCCGGAGTAAAGTCTGTACAACACAGCTACAACTCGCGCTGTAGTCTTGTTGCTATAGGAAATTAGCTTCTTCAGTTTCCTGCCTTGTCTTTTGTAAATGCCAGGGTAGTTAGGAATATCTTTGAGTTTATACCTGTGTATATAATTCATAGAGGAATTACATCTGGAGATGCTGTCTACTGAAATAGCTGACCTGCTTTTACCCCCAGAAGGATATCCATCCATTCAATGGATCCCTGAAGAAAAAAAATATATATATTGCTACCTTGTGGTAGTGTAATACTTAACAGCAATGAAACATGCATAAAAAATCTTGTTGAATTGAACAAAGTCATTAATGCAGGAGCAGCAAGTGAGAATATAGTTGCAAATGAAACAGAAATGAACGCCACTGTCAGTTTCCTCTCCACAGTGCATGGACCTAAAAGAGAGGATAGGCTACCTCAATGTCACAAGGATACAATGTCCAGCTAATGAATCTGACCTTAGTACTTCTAGTGTATGCAAAGGGAGGATGATCCCAATAAACTGTGTACCTAGTTAGTGTTTTGAAAGAACTCCTTCCTGAAAGCTGAAAGTTATGAATATGGGTGATTTAATACAATTTTATATATTGATTCATGTTAGAAAGTTCTTCTCTGAGCAGCCTATTACATTAAAATAAATCAGACCAGAGCAACTTTGATAGGTGCATCTGATTTGAATAATCTTGCATGTATTAGATATCAGCACTGGCCAAAACCATAATTACCCGTGGATGTGTATCTTCAAGATTGTGTTATATGAAAAAAAATATTATTCAAAATAGAAAAACAGTATTCAAAACAGAACCGTTATGGTATCTCACTGAAAGGCTATGTAATCTGCATGGGATGCAGTCCCAATAGACACAGCGTAAAGGTTTGTTCTTGGCCAAACTGGTAATACTATTTTTTTTTTCTTTTCAGAAAAGAAGCATCATGAGGTTCTCTGCTTTTCCCAGGCTTAATACCCATAAGGGGAATCAGATAAAATGTGCATGCTCCTTTGCCTGTGCACAATTTCTTCTTGACATGTCTTAGTTTATTCCTTCAGGTAATTGACTTGTGGAGTGAGTCATAAGTATAGAGGTGCTGAGAATCCAGAAATAATCTACAGAAGGAAGAAATAAAGTAATTATGCCTATACTTTATTCTTGTAAATCTTTAACATTTGGCAGTGAAAGGAGCTGAAGTGTATCATTAAAGTCTACCATAATCAGGTAAATTATTATGCATACCTGGAATGCTTTGAGGGGCAAATGAAAGTCAAGAAATGAACTGGGGAGATGCAACTCCAGAATTTCTATTAGCAATGATTAGCTTTATATTTTTGCTTGCATTCCTCTTGCATGTATCTGTGTGAAAATGGTAACGCTTCCCATGACAATCTTTAATAAGATTGCAACATTTTCATACATAGATTTTTTGCTATGACTTATTCCATTGTCTCCAATAAGAATGCTCGTGTAAAAAAATGAATGAAAGTATTTGGTTATCTGTCAACTTTTTCCTTAATCTGTCTACTCTAAATTCTGTTGTCATCTGCCTTTAAAAGTCAATGTTCCTGCAGCCTTTCCAGTTTCTTGACCTTTGTTAGTTGCTTTTAGATTTAGATTTGGAAAACACCATGTACAGTCCTTCTCTTTCACATTTTCTTTTTCTTATCATAAAGACAAAAATGGTGTCGATTGCCAGATGTTTCTTATATGAGAGAGAAAGGATGGTTTTAAAATGTAGGAGAGACTTTGGTTAAGTATGTGTTTTTTTTTGTTTTTTTTTGTTTTTTTTTTTGAGTACAAATATGATTCAGCAATTAAATTTGATTTGATGATGGAAAAAAAAATCAAGAAGAAAAGACAAATAAATTATCTACTACAACAGGGGAACAGCCCATTCCCCAAACCCCAGACTGTATCTTAACAATGTCAAATGGTTATTTGCAATTTCCCTACACACAACTGTAGCAAGCAGCTTTCTAAACTTAAGACTTTTCAAGTAGTAGCTGCAGCTAATGTGAACCACAGTAAATAAATCTTACCATCACTTTTTGGTGTTACTATAAGTTTCTAGTTTTATAGCTACTTAATTGGAATGAATAAATAAATATTTTTTACTGTGGAGCTGAAAATGACATGCTTATATTTTACTGGAACAGCAGAAACTTATCCTAATTGTTATTGATTACTCTAACCTACTGCAGATTTACAAATATTTCTGAGCTTGTAAAAATATTAAGTATTTATTTGTGTCAATTTGAATTTGCAGAATACATTGTACTTGTTTTTCTTCAAATGATTGCCTCTATCTCAAGTTACTTTTTCAGGATTGTTTATTTTTTCTTCTTGCTTTAGTTAGCAGGAAAATTTTGGATAGTGACCAAGTGGTCCCAAATCTCAAAGCTTTTTCCACCAATTGATCAAAACAGAACTCGGGTGGAGAACTGCAATTTGGGGTTATAATTCTTGAGTGTTGGTAAACTGATTTAAGGCAGTTAATGCCATTCATCACTGAAATAAGAAAACCTGTGGGACTGGAGAACCAGATAACTTTAGACCTCGGATTAAGTAGGAAAGATCAAGTATATATCTGAAATAACAGCAAGTTTTCCACCCCAAGTATTCTCAGCACAAAGCACAACATATTTTGATCAGAGAGTATCTAATATGACGTTTGCAAACTTCATAAAATATACATACCTTTCCCTGTCTGATCTTAAAACACTTATGCTTTAAAGAAATTATTATGAAGTCAATCTTGTTCATTTATTTTTGTTGTTTATTGCATTCAGGGGTAGAGAGGAAAGATAATAAAATAAGAGAACCTGGTAAAAAGATAAAACAAATTCTTGTTTATAAAATGAAAATGAGTACTAGATTTATTAAATAAATGAAGTATATGGAAGCCTTTAATGATTCTGTAGGAATGATTCCAACTATTTTAAAGCTTCTAATAGGAGTTCAGTTGAGAAGAGTTGTTGAACATACTGCCATTTCCTTGTATACACACCTGGATTTCCTTTGTCTGGAAATCAAGGAATGTGAAGATAGCGTGCAGCTACATCTTGACCCATGCTAGGCTGGAGGTAGCCTAGCATGCACCCAGACCTAAAAATTTTGGGGTGCCCCCATTTCAGATGTATTTGGTGCATGTATCCAGCCTGAAGAAGAAAAGGCTCCGGGGAGACCTCATTCCAGTTTTTCAATACTTAAAGAGGGCTTATAAAATAGATGGAGAACAACTTTTTGCTCAGGCAGATAATGATAGGAATGGTTTTAAACTAAAGGAGGGGAGATTAAGATTAATGTTAGGAGGAAATTCTTCACTCAGAGGGTGTTGTGGCACTGACACAAGTTGCCCAGAGGAGCTGTGGATGCTCCATCCCTGGAGGTGTTCAAGGCCAGGTTGGATGAGGTCCTGGGCAACCTGATCTAGTGGGATGTGTCTCTGGCCCCTGCAGGGGGTTGGAACTAGGTGATGTTTAAGGCCCCTTCCAACCCAAATCATTCTGTGATTCTATGTTAATGTATTCTGCTTCTGTGCAAGGCAAGTCAGTGTACAGGATTGCTGCTGTAGCAGCACTGCTCTCTGTTGATTAAGCAGCACGGTTAATATTACAGTCCAATGCGCAGGTGTCCTAAACTGGCTATGATGCTTCTTTGAAAGAGATATCTACACCAAACAGAGGATGGAAACAGCCTTAAGTAAAATAAGTAAAATGTCTCTGTGTTAAAAATACAGAAATCTAAATGTCACCCTTGGTAAGGCTGGCATTGCAAGTTTGGTGCAGTCTGTTGAAGGGAAGGCAATGAAAACAGGAGGAAAGAAATAGGAGGCATCTGTCTGAAAAGAGGTGGTACCCAGTTCTAACAGCACTAAAAGATGAAAAAACAACAATCTGCATCAGCCTGCATGTGCAACAAACTGTAGGAACAAGAGAAAGGTGTTCAGTTTATCGGCATGTAGCAATTGCTTTGGGGCAGGGTACTTGTTTTTTCTTATTTGCTCTGCCTCTGGCCACTCACCGGTCATCAAGGTGTTGTATGTTTGTAGCCATCTATTCTGCCATAGCAGTAGCCGGCATGTGGTGGCTCACTAACGATAGCTGCTGTACTGATGTGATCTGGCTATGGAACCATCTCATCCCATCTCAACTGAGTTTTCAGCCTCACCAAAGGTTCTTCCTTGATATGCTGGCTCTTGACCCCTTTACAGAAACTGTTGTGCTTATAGGCAGCAGCATAATGAAGGACTATCTCTGAAAACTGCTGGACATTTTGGAAGGAAGATACTTGCAAAAAAAGGTGAAATGATAAGAACCTGAGAAACAAATAAAGGAATGATACAGTATATTTTGTATGCTTCAACGTTATTCTGTGCTTTAAAGTTATTCTAATAAGCAGAATTCCTGTCTCCCTACTGTTAATTAGGCTTATTTTTCCTGGTTATCTGTTTCTCTTTTGTTCTGCAAACGATTTCTTGTTCACTCCAAGTAATTTTGACTCGTAAACGAGTTTGATTTTGACAGAAGACTAGAGGTCTCAAAGCTTTGAACTACCTACAGTTTTCAGATCAGTGACTCTCTTGAGGAAGTATATTGTTTCATTGATAAGAATTAAGTGGAGAAAAAGATGGTCATGGTGGAGCTTGGGTTTACCTGCTTTGTTGATGTGCTAGGTGACTTGCCGAAAACAGAATCAATTATTTCTCCTTTCTTAATAGGATTTGGAGGGAGATGGGAGGACAGTGGGAGGAGTTTGGAGGATGTGGAGGAAGGACTTAATATTGCAAAAGTGACAAAGAATGCATAGGAAAGAACTGAAGGGACTGTAGAGAGGGACAGAGAATACAGTCATAAATCTATGGGAAGGATTTAGTTAGCCATACTCCTTGTGAAAGATATAATTTAAATGCAGAAAATTTCTGAAGTCTTAGATCTTTTCATTAATCTCCAGGTTAGCACTTTAAAAAGGCTTGCCATAAATACAGCAGTAGACAGTTTCCTCCCGTTGGTGCAAGAATTCCCTGTATTAGATTTTACACCTCCATTTTTTTTTCTTTCAGAATTAGTGTGAAGCAACTATATGCCACATGCACGCTTCTCTATTATAGGCAATCCCCAGGAAGCTCATTAAGTTTTCTTTATGGCTCCTATGCACTGCTGGAACCATACCTAAGTGGAGTGTCTGACTGTCAGTGATTAGATACCACGATGGTATATACTTTAGAAAATATCATAGTTGGCATACAGAAATAGACAAATATAACAGCACTGCAGTGGGCCATTTATTCAACAGGAATTTCAGTTGCATAAACAGTAACACTTACACAGTTCCTGACACTGGCTTCCAGTTTCAATAGTAAAATTATTTCTGAAAGAGCTCCTCTGTAACCATACTGTACAGCAGAAATAAATATATCGTAAATTCAAAAAAAAAAATGTGGATGTCAGAGATGAGCAGGTAACTACTAGTTTAAAAATTTACTGTTTATAATTCTATTTTGAGCATATTGGTGTAAAATACTTCTCTAAGGCAAATACCCCTGTGAGAAAGATGATATTGGTGCAATTTTTGGTGGGTAATCGAGGGAAAATAATATTTTTAGTAAAATATTCCAATTTAATATGATGCTTATTGTTAAGACATAAGTGACAGACTGGAATAATGCCTACAGATAGTCTATTCTGAAACAAAACATGCCTGGTCTGTAACTCATAACAAGATCTTTTATTGGTGCTTGTGCTGGTAATCATGAGAAACTGATGCTGTTAGCAAGGACTACTACTTTGATAGTACTCTACTAAAAGTACTATGGTAAAATGTTCTTTTCCTTCTCCCTTTATTTTGTTTTCTCTTTCCCCCCTTTCCCAAGATTTCTGATTATCAGTTAAAGTTCTTGACCCTATTTTTCCATGACCAGTTAACTTTTCTGTTTTGCCTCTCCTTACTTTTTTTCTACAGCCACACCCTATGGATTCATTGCGCGTTGTTTTTTTTGTTTGGTTTTTGTTGTTGTTGTTTTTGTATTTGAGTAAATGGGTTGACGTTTCATACTAAAGTTATAGTTTCCAACACTTATGAGAAAACAGTAATAAAGCCATGATGGTCATAAGATCGTAATGTGTATGCTTTGTAATGTTATGAGCAACAGCCTGTACCAGTCATACTTGAAAGCCCTTGTTAAAAGTGAGTTAACACATTGTATCTTAGCACCCACTAGTAGTCTAGCAATGCCACTAGTAAGTGCATGGTTCTACCTGTATCAGTTGGACTCAGAAAAGAGAGAATGTTTAAAATGTCAATCCCCTTTTCCCCTTTTTCTATTGCTTGGTGCGGTCTAAGTAGAGCTACACATGTAATATTCTGATTTGCATTGCAGCTCTCTGTTTTATTTCTTGTGAGAAACAGCTAAATTCTGGGTGACTTTCACTGCAGCCTTACACAATGAGGTGTGAATCGCACCAGAACCATGTGTGATGTAGCAGAACCATACATTCCACAGATTCCCTTTCACAAAAGGTTAGTACTATCATTTTCTGAAGAGATTGTTACCTCATTAATAGCACCTTCACCATTTCAGCTGGACTCAGAATGACTGCTGAAGCTGAAGGGACATCTTCACTGGTACACGTGGACAGAACTGGAAATGCTCATGCCTTTGTTCCTCTATACCATCCATCTGAGCAGAGGGGAGAGCAGAGGTTACAGGCTGCACCTCGCTGACCCCACAGCCCTGGGCATGGCTTGGCTTCCACCATACGTCAGAATAACAATGAGCTGCTCTAATTTCTCTTGGCAGAAAGAGCTCCCTGGAGGCATTTCTCTGTTTCTGAACACTTTGTGTTAGTTGCAGACACTGTTAAGATACTCTCTATGCCTGTGTCAAGGATAGTGAATATGTTGCATAAAGCACTTTGCTCAGAGGCCTGTTAAAGGCACCTTTATGTCTCTAATGGACTAGAGCAGTGCATGAGGGATTAATCAAAGGACAGAAATGATTCCCCTTCCTATTTCAAGAAATATTAGTATCTTACAGACCTTATTTTCATTTTCTTACAGCAATTCAGTAGCCAAATGAATGCTTCAGGACAAGTCTCTTACTACTCAGGGACAGTAAAGGATGGGAGCTTTACTGAGGCAATATATTTACTTGTTGAAGAGTATCTTCTGTCAATTCCCATTTTCTTCTTGTTTCTGAGCTTGCCTAGGAGCAATTCTGGCAAGTTCTGAAGGAAATCACCATGGAAGGTCACTATGACAGGACTCTTTAAGAATGTCTCAGAGAGCCTTCAGTAGAAGTTAGAGGAATATATTTTATTACTCTAACAGTTTCTACAAAACAACAAACTCCCAGTAACAACCTGTGTACTTGTGTGATGTTTTTCCATATCTGAAACAAAATTGCTAATGATCCAGTCACAGCATGCACCATCTCCACTGTAATATATCACATACTTTGGAAGCAAGTTGATCTAGATGAAGTAGGCTAACTCTTTCTATTTGTTTACTAACTTGATTAAAAAAAAAAAAAAAAAAGAAGAAGCCACTGAATTACTCTAAGAAGCTTTTAAAATTATCATTTTAAATTACTTTAAATCCTTCCCCTTGTCCCTCATCTATGATATCCCTATACGTTCCCTACTTTGTAAAATTGACATAGCTCATTTTCATCCCATCATGTATGACTTTTCTGCAATCAACTGTAGATGAAATCAGTTTTCCAACCTCTATGAGAGAGAAAATAAGCATTCTTATGCTTTTCTACTTTAAGTGACAAACATAGTAGAGGTATAGATGGTGGAAGTTCTATTCATGTCTCTTTCCCTTTGTTCTTTGTTTCAGTGAGTTCTAGTTGTCCCTGACCTGCTAATACCTGATTTGAGAACCAAGACAAGAAATGAACTCATGATGGGTAAATACTTACCAAATCATTTACATGTTTTTATGTACTTTGTTTAGCATTGTTGTCAGTGTATGTTTCCAGAAAAAATGTATAATAAAGTGTGTCACCTACTATGTTTCTATTATAAGGGACTAAGAGCCATTTCTTAAGAGACTGGTTCATCATCAAATTAATGCACAAGAACAACAATATATATATCTCTCTCTCTCTATATATATATATAAAAGAAAAGGATCAAAATGTTGGCTGAAAATAAAGTTGCCTATGGAAATGTTCCTCTCAAAGTAGGACTATCACCAGCCCTAGATCAGGTCAGTGAAAGCTGTCTGCTGAAGTCTGAAGAACCTCCAAGGACTGAGTTTGCATTGCTCTGAGTACTGTTAGCTCATTTTCAGCTAGGCATCCACAGACACTACTCAACCTTTTCCAGCATAGTTGATACTCTTCAGGTTGGCTTCCAGCTTGTTCTGACACACAAGGTTATTCTGTCCTAGGTGCAGAACTTTCTGCTTTTTCCTGTTGAACTTCAATTGGCCAAATGCTTAAGCTTTTCAAGGGCTTTCTGGACTGACTGGGTAAATCTCAATTCTTAGAGACTGGATTTCTGAAATGTGTCAGAAGTTCAGACTTAGCCAATTTGACCACAGTAAAGTAAGTTTATTATTACAGTGAGTGTCTTCACTGTTATAAAGACATATCAGCAGTTAATTTATTTCCCCTTGATGTAAAACATTGTGAACAAGAGTGTTCTGCTGAAGCAGGAGATCTATGCCTGATCTCACCCCATGTGCTCTAACTTGACTTATCATCTATTCTGTACACTTTCAAAGCCCTGAGTTTTGTCTTCCTCATTTGTTGTACTGCAATCAATTCATATCAGGCTAAACCAAAAGGTTTCACCTAGTCCAAATCTAGAAGAGGTGTTCTAGATTCTGGCTAGTCCATTTCAAGTATTACTGATCTTGCAGGTACAGTTAACTCACAGGCAAATTTATTTCAGAATCATCTTAACCAGCAGCAACTTTAAAAAAACTACTGCATTAAATTCTGCCAGGAAACAGTGCTGCAGATTCTGCTAGTAATTATTGCATTTTATTATTTTGTTTCATTGATCAACATAAAACTATACCTCATTTTCAAATGCATAAAATAAGAACAGTGTTAAGATTCTTAAAAAAGACTTTCTAAGGTCTATTTTCATGTTTTACTCCACCATCGAATCATTTCAAAATCATTGAAAGCAAAGGTGTTATGCTAGTGTAAAATCAATAAGAAGGGAGTTGAAAGGGCCGTATTTTCCACATGCAGTGAATGAGAAATGAAAGAAAGGTTTATAATATCATAAACCTTGGAACTGTGTCTGGTGATTATCCTAGATATGGCCTGCCAAGGTAATGACCACCATCTGCTGCTGCCCACCAGTGTCCTGAAAATACAATCAGGCTGCTAGTATTCACTGAAGTTAGCAGTAAAGTAATCCTCTCAGTTTCAGCTCTTAAGATTACATGTAATTGTGTGTAAGATGCAGTCTCAGTCTGCACAGTTTTTTCAGGTTCTCAAATTCTGAAGATTGAAATTGATCATATTTGCCTTAAACTTGCTGTTCAGCTTCCCTCTTTGTATTTCATTGCTGCTTTTGTTTTTAAAATGCTAAAACTTTTGTTTTTAAATTGATAAAAACCAAACCAAACCAAACAAACAAAACAAAAACACCTGCACACATTTCTGTGCATTCTCTCTGGTTCATGGATTCAGAAGTGGGGTGTTTTTTTTTTTTTTGTTTTTTGTTTTTTTTTTTTCATGAAGCAGCTTTGAACTGAAGTTAATCTATTTTCTTTATGAATTAAGACTGCTTTTAAAACATAAAAAATATTTCAAGGTTCTGAGGGAGCTTCAGGTATACACACACATCTCAAGGAAAATACAGAAACTAAGACAAAATGTGATAAAGTAATCTGCTGAAGTGAAAGTAGGGAGAAACAGCATAGAAAAGTTAGAATACAAGAAGGACATGAAATAGAAAGGAAGAAAGGTCGTAAAGAATACAAGGAAACCCTAATTCAAGTTTGTCTGTTCATATGTGCCTATAACTTTTCAATGCAATAGGTTACTTTCACAAAAGATTTCATTAGTAAAATGAGCAGAAGAATAGGGGGGAAAAAAAGAACAACACACCTCTGTGAGTTCCTAGTACTTCAAAGTATAGCAAAATTTTAATATATTCAACCAATAGCTTCTAAAAATAGAGGAATACAGAATAGGGGAAAATGGGAATATGAATAAAGCAGAAAGGAGAGAAGTGTAGGGATTCTGTTTTGTTTGCTCTAGTTCCCCCACTTCAAATGGATTAAATTATTAAAAATTAAAATGCAAAATCACTCTCATTCTCACTTGGTTTGTGTGGTTTCAGCTGAACTGGGTAATGGAGGAACCAATTCTTCATCTGTTTTTGGCTATGATATAAGGGGTCTCCCCTAATCATTTGGAGTGGCTTGCTGCAGTAATGATATATTCATTATACTGCTATGAGCAGTTGCACTGCTCGTTGAGAGAATGCAGGACAAGACAAGCAAAAAAACACCAGAGAAGGATTTTTATTTATTTATTAATTTATTTTTGTCAGTGTGAAATGACGCATTTTGGCTTCTGTGGATGAAAACAAGACTCAGGATCTATAGTGATATTAGACACAAACTAAGGATGAAAATAAATTCTGTTGTAAGGTATTTCCCAAGAGATAGCTATCCCAATTTTTGATCAGTGCTCAGAAAAGGGAAAAAGGGTTTAGCATTCAAGCTGAACTTGACCAAATCATAGAATGTGTTTGCAAAAGTAGGATTATGAATGTTTTACAAAAATATTGTTGATTTTTTTCACTTATTTGTGAAAGTATCATTGGGGTGCAATGGAAGATGTTATGTTAATGACAGCGTTACAAAGGAAAACAAATACATTGGCCTTTTGAGCAGTAACAGGCACTGAAGATATAATTTCCACTCCATGACACAGAAAATCCTGTTGCGTATATAAATAGGGAGGAAAATAACAGCTTACATATTATACTAAAACAACCTATTAGCCTATATTAGGGACTCCCATGCGTAAGCTTAAAGAGAGCAAGAGGGTTATAAATTCCCTTGCCTACCTCACTGCCTCCGTGACTGTTAGTCACACTGCTTTTCCCAAACTCTCCTGTGTGCAGTGTGGAAAACACAGCTGATAATACAGACAGAAAGAACGCACAGCAGTTGCCTGTAGCAGCAGGAGGCAGAGGGCACAGCAGAAGATATTCTCATTGGTATTGGTCTTCTGAGACAGCTGTACCAGCTTTTTTTTCCTTCCATCTTAACTTTCTACTCTGTGCTTTCCTTCTAATTATAAAATAATAAAGGAATTTCACAATGGTTCTGTGCAATCATCTCGAGGTTTTAGTCCCAATTCTCTTTTTGCAATATTTTTATTTCAGCTTAATTTCCTTCTCTCCAGTGATATTACTTCCCAGTTATACAGAAACAAAATTTTCTGAATTATCTTTATGGATAAAGTATAGATACAAACTCAGCTAAATGTATATTAAGCAATTTATTGCGAGTGCTGCAGTACATATCATAAGGAAGATGAAACCTAATGTGGAAAAAAGACAGTTTGTTGTAATATAATTCTGTTTCTACCTTTACAAGTGCTGAGTGAAATATGGCACAACGCATAACTGAAGACAAAGGTACAATGTAATAGATTTATCCTTACACTACTCAAGTGGAACATCCATGAAAAAGATAAGGGTCCTAACCTCACAAGTTATATAAATGATAAATGTGCTATAATATTTGCTCTGTTTTCTTTCTCCTTTGATAATGCTGTATACAGTGGCCATTATCTTAAGATCTCTATCACAATACTTTATAATTTATTTTATTGTTATGTTGCTGTGCTGTCTTTATAAATATGTGCAGTGTATTGATATCTTAAATTAAAATGCTAAAATTCTCATAGCATACCTACCAAATGAATAGCATCTTTACAATGCTATTTGATATGCTGAAGCCTAATAGTCTTTCTTGTTCAGAGTCTGTACTCATTTGACATAAAACAAATAATTAAAATAAATTATAGCCTTAGAGTCTACAAACTAAGGAGACAAACAAAAATAGCTGTGCGAGAGGGAGGTTAACACAGGGATATCTGTTGACAGCGTTATGAAGACCTCAAAGGGATTCATACATTTGTCTGCCTGCAGTGATATGTGTGAGGAATTCCATGTCAGATTGTTAAGTTTAGCAGACAGGATTTCCAGTAATAGATTTTCAGAAATGTGGTTACCCAGGGGTATTGTGTTCTTCCCAATTACTAGAGCATTCAATGAGACTTTGGCCTTTTTCTTTTCCACTTGTGTGCGTGTTTATGCACATAACTGTTGGGTTTGCTTTTGTTTTGTGTTTTACTGCTTATTTGGTATCGCACTCAATGTACTGAGAGAGATTTTTGCGACCTTTAACACAGCTGCCAGTCACTTTCTATAGGCGTCTGTGAGGATGAATGCCAGTTTTTCTGATGATGATGAGTGACTCTCATAGCCATTGTCATTTCACCTCACAGCTTCTTTTAGTTGTCTTCCGCTGTTGTTTTTCTCAGTGGAAAATTCCCCTGTTCTGGAAACTTTATACCTGAATATTAGAAATGATGAAGGCTTTGAAATGCAGGAGGCTCTGCTGTGTTGAATAGCTAATGACCATGAAGTTTCTACTGCAAGGAAATCATTATTAACAACCCAAAGCTCAGTTTGGGGCAGGGTATTCTGTGTTGTGTGCTCCAATATCTGTTTATTGGTGCTCATAGTTTCAGAGGCAGGAGCCAACTGAGGTGATGTATGAGTAGAAACAAGGAAAGAATTTTAATAAGGAATGCTGCCTGGGCCAAGTGGCCTTCTCTGTACTTTAATATGCCTTGTGGTCGTCTTGTCTCTAAACACATCAGACTATAAATAGCTTAGTTTTCACCAATCTGCTACTCTTGCAGAAGAGAAAAGAGGCCCTAGGCAGGCCTACACTGTCTTGCTGGGAAAGAGCAACCCACAACAGCCACCTCAGCATATGAGCTGCTGAGACAGCTCTTCAGACCCCATCCAGATCACAGCTGTCCTGCCCGTGGAGCACCTGATCAGGGTGCATGGCCTATGCCACCCTCCAAAAGGTTTCCAAATCCTTTCGCAGCTATGCGTATAACCTAAAAAACAGTTTTGACAGCTGACAGATAAAAAGATTTATGTGGCAGTATACTGACTGAAAAGGAGAAGACTGGAGGGACCAGGACAAACTGAGGTCTGTGGTGGTCTGCAAAGGAAGTACCCTCTTCCAAAGGATGTCAGTAGCTGTGCCAGAGCAAGCAGCTGAACCTGATCCTAGTCTCTCATCATTTGAGTGCCTGAGTAGATGATGATATCCTGCACAATGACTCAAATCCAGCCTAATTCAATATCTGAAAGTTAATTGTTGTTGGTTTATAATCCTTTGATTTTGTAGGCTTCTTTGAATAAGGCTGGTAGCAAGATGTCTTTATTTCTACCCCATTCTTTTTCTGTCCCAGCTGCTTTTCCCGGATGTATTAGTCTATTAAAATAAATAAATAAGAGAGAGAGAGAATAATAAAAAACATGAGGTGATGAAGTTTCCATGGCAAAAAAAAAAAAAAAAAGTAAATCCGAATTTAGATGAGAAAGATGAGGAAAGTTCTGGCTGAGTTTTGATTATTTTAAAGTTATTAACTTTCCCTCAACTAATGTATGAAAATGAAATTTTCGCATTTAAAAAGGAGGTAGTACTTTAAATTTGATGATGATTCTCTTCTTTATGGTGTTAGTTTGAACTCATATCAAACTTTTTTTAATGTGAATTAAATAATTTCAAGCTTATCAATGAATGGTATCATATTTAGCAGCATATTTACCATGTTTACCTCTTTGGATTTGAAATAATTGAATGAGGTATTCAGTTACAAGACCAGAAATCAGAAGATTTGGAAACAGATTTTAGACTTGTCTGAATTCATCTTGGCTGTTGATGACTCCAGAGTAGCTTACCTAATCCATATTATCTCAAGATATGGGCTTTACAACCTCTTCCAATCTGTTTTTTTCCAATCTGAAACAAAACAAAACAACAACAAAAAAAATTAAGAAGCCACCCCAGTTTTATCCTTTGCAAAATAAGATGACAATGATTGTTACATATATACATAGGACGATGAACATAGTTATCCCTTGAATAGTGATATTGAACAATGGAATTTAAGATTTGCAGAAAACATCTGTGGAAATAAACTCCATATTGGAGTGATATCTAGAAATATCTTGCAAGGGAATGGTGTACAATAAGCAGTTTGATTTGTAGAGGCCAGGCCTGTTTTGCCCATGTTTTCATCCAATCTAGATCACAACTCTTTAGGGATAGATACCTTTCCCTCCTTACTGTGGTTGCTGGACACACTGATAATAAACTTAGCTAAAAATGCTAAATTTCTGATGACATGGGAATGTACATAGAGCACAGTTATTGCACTGCATTTGCCATTTCTTGGCCTATGAGTGTCTTTGTAGAAATGAAAGGTGATTTCAGTTCTGAAAATGGTGTTCCTGTTATTTCATTGTGCTGAGCTTTTCATGCAGTGTGGTAGCTATGAGAGGTAAGAGAGCCGTCCATTTTGGAAAGAAAAAGCTGAGACCATCCATTTAATGTCACTTAGGACCTATTACAGCAGGATAATTTGGTCATTTAGAATTTTAGATCAAAGTATAAATAGTTTGGAGCTACACCACATCCCAGAGGTGAGAAGATGGAGACCATTTGCAGTCATAATACCAGATGTTTAGCCATTGCTATAAATTCAACAACAAAAACTGAAAATAAAAAGCAAGCTGTTAACTGAGGATATTTGGAGTCATGTCACAGGTGAAAGATGATCTAAAATGCTATTTCATAGTGCAATGCAATAGTGAAATTAGCACATGTCTATTATCACTGCTTGTAACTCTGCAGGAAACTAATGGAAATAGCTTAATCTTTTCAAGCTCCTCTAAAAGAAATACAGGATTTCACCTGTTGCTGAGTTTTTACTTCTCTGTTATTCCTTGCCAAATTCTTACTGCACAGCAGTTTTGTATTATTTAATGTGTTGGCTGTGGATTTAATAAATAACTGTAGAGATGAGTGATCCAGTCATTCGTTTTTGGTAAGTGACAGCTATAGTGATGCATTGTGATGATGGTTAGAAAGAAGAAGGGTGCAGTCTTAAAATTCCCTCTCTTGAACCAGTTTCAGGGAGTTCTCCTTCCAAAGCAGTAAAAGCAAAGGCATTAATTATGCATTTTCATTATGACAGAGCCAACATCAGCAGTGACTAAAACATAATTTGTTTAGGTGGCAGTTCAGGCTGTTCTCTGATCAAGTTTTGTTTCCTACAGAGAGGCATCAGCCTTAAATTACACAGCAAGTAGGCAAGAGAAAGGAAGCAAACAATAAAACACTTCCCAGAAGGAAAAAAAAGGAAAATTTGTCTCTCATCATCCTACTAAATACATAATTCTCTATTTTTGTCACTTAATGAAAAATCAGGAAAGGGGTTCAGCTTTAATTAAAAGGAGTATGTTTTCTATGGGACTCTACAGAATTATATTTTAGATTTCTAAGAATGGGTTGCTTTTAATGCAAAGGAACTTTTCCACTGGAAGGGAGGAAAGGATGATAGAATGAAAAATCCCTGAGAAGTACTTATACGACAGAAATGAGGGATATCTTACTACTTTGTCCTACTGTAATCCGTAGAGTAATCTGGATTGTCTTTAGTAAGGTAGACACAAAACAAGGACCTGTATGTATCAGACAATTTAACTGTACAGGCACGGCAAAATCTATACAATTAAAGATCAACATGCGTCTTTTTGAGGATATATATATATATATATATATATGAAAAGCTAGAGTTCAGTATAATGTTAAGCATGGACATAATTTTACTTTATTTTCGACTTCAGCAGATCTATTATTTTGCATAAATCTATAAATGTATTTTAGCACCTTACTAAATCAAAGACCCCAAAAGAATACTTTTTTTATTTGCTTTTAATTTTTGGCTGCTGTAAAGAAGTGTTGGTTGTGATTTTGTAGTGTAATTTGACTTTTAATATCATATTCCCTGACTGCTTCAGTCCTTCTGTATTTGATGTGCATAAAGCGAAAGCAAATAAAAGCCAATTTCTTATTATCTCCATTGCTTAAAGGAGAAACAATAAAAAATAGGATGAAATATGTGCCATTTAACAGGAGTATCTTCCTGTTCAGCATTGTTTCCCTTCCACTGGAGTTTCCTGGCAATTTCAGGTGAATGAATAGGCAGACAAATTCAAAAATGTACATCATTTACCCCATGTGCAGCAAATGTTCCTTTGGAACTGCTATTGTGCAAAATTAGATTCTTTCTGAATACAGGTAAAGAACTACACGCAATAAAAATGATTGTGAAAAATGTTGTGTGAGCTCAGCAGGTTTGATTTTAATTGAAATAGTTAATATTTGATTAAGATACTTCTGACCACTCAAACTTTCCAAAGTGATTAGATACTGAAAAGTCAGTGTTAAATATTCCTTTGAAAGGGAGTGAATGCAGCATTGTCACCTTATTGCAAGCTTTCAGCTTAGTGCAGTTTATTTTATGATTTAAACATTTAGCATGCTTAAATTATAAAATTAATCATACCATTAACCTTAAAATACGGTGGTCTAAGAGCAGGTTTCTGAATACATGTAACAGATAAATGGTCAAGTTGCATTGCTGTTTCCCAAATGGAATAATGTAAATGCAGATAAAATGTTATATAAAGACATTAAAAAACAACAACAACAAAACACCTTAATCTTTTACGTGTGTTCTCAGTTTTGTTGTTCTTAACAGGAGCAAAGGATTAGTATGAAGATGAGCTGACGTGGTGGCCTAAGATTACATCACCTCAGGTCAGAATTTTGTACTTATTGAAGTGGCAAAGCCTGCAAACTCCAGTGATATATTACGAGTATGTAATGGGGGGGTGGATGATGTACAGGTTGCATTATACATGGACACACTCTTTTGGCTATTTAACAGGTAGAAACTCTAAAATTAAATATTTAGAATATAGTCTGTATTCCTTATGCTACGTTCATACTTTCCTCTAGAGCATTCCATTGAATTGTAACTGGGTTTGTCAATCTGCATTGAAAATGACTTTCAAAGGGTATGTCTGTATTTCCTAGTAATGGTACGCTATGTACAAGCAGGCAGAAGAACTGCCTGCTTACAAACAGCAATTTTCTCCTGAGCATTTCAGGACAACAAAAATAAATCAGGTTGTCTTTCAGGCATTCCATTGCTCTCTTCCCAAGGCAGAGGACAACTGGAGGAGCAAAGCAGTTCTGCTGCTTACTCACCTATCTTTAATCAATGTAGTCAGACAAGAGAAATCATATGAAACAGTGACAGAGAAGTGACAGATTTGATTCTGAATAGAATGCAAGAAAGGTGGTTGGCCAAAACCATGCTTGAAGGATCCAACTTTTAATAGGAATTATTAATTTTGCTTTGTCTGGTTACACTCCTGAAATGCAGAAATGGGTGGAGAACAGTGAAGTTACAGCCCTGAGGTTCAGACCATCAGATAATCTTGTGTCATGTGGCAATGAACATATATTACAACCAGTTTGTCATAGCTAATCTTATTTTGTCTCTCAACACACTATTTCAATGTAACAGATAATAAGACAGAGTTGCAATGATACATGCTAGTGATTTTGCTTCAGAGACAGGAAAAGACTAAATGACTGGATAGAGGCTTGTAGGTGTCTATGTATGCTGGTTGGTGTATATGTGTGCTGGTATGTGTATGCAATCTCATCTGATGAAAATTGATAATAATATGCAATGAGGTAGGTAAATGGGACAAATAAAATGCAAAATGCTAATTTTGGAAAATGAAAAAAAAAAAGTAAAAATAAAAAAATCCAGGCCCTACTGAAATCTATGGAAAAAACTCCCACTGACTTAGGTAAGGGCAGAATTTCAACCCATATGCCAATACTGAACTGTTGCAGGATTATAGATTGAGAAATCTTCTTCAGTTACTTACCCTCGCCTAAAAAAAATTGTTGATGCATATTTCAAATTAAAGCAGTGGATGGAAGAACCTCCATAAATAATGCAAATTCAGATCAGAAATTAAACATAATTCAGCACCATAGTTATTTTTTAGTACCATCTTTAGTTCTTTTTAAAGTGTTCTAGTTACTAGAGAATTTCTATTGAGAAATTGTTCTGAAGTATGTGGCAGTTAGCTGTGATGACCAAATAGTCTCTCTCTGATTATCTCTTTTGATTGGGGTAGAAGATTGCTGCGTTTGTGGAGGCAAGAAACTGTTCAAAACAGTTCTTCTTTCTGTACTTGCTTTAGCAGGCAAGAGTGTGAGTGTTAAAAATACAATTGCAGTGATAGAAGCCTGCCTGCTGGAGCAGCTACAAAGTGAATTCCTATGTCACTTGGTTAATTTTCTTTTTGTTTAGTTTACTAAATATATACATATATAAACTATTATCTTGCTTCTCTCTATTCATAATTCTTTACAGCTCTTGCTATATTCTGATAGTTCAGAGTCAAACCAAAAAGAACCAGACAACTTCAAAAAGTATGTTCGCTTTTTTGATGCTGGAAACTGAAATTAATTGATTTTTTAAATGTTTTCATTATTTTCAAATTTTGTTTGTGAAAAGTGACTATTTCTAGAAAAAAAATTGCATCCTTGGTTTTACTTTCCCTCAAAGAACAGAGTTATTTAGTGATAATATGTTATGTGACATTTTATATTCTGTTTGAAAAGCCATCTTTTATTTAACAGCATTCTGACAATGTTTTAAAGATAATTTATCTAAAGTCATTGTCATTTATTCACACCATTAAAATACCATGCAGGCTTCATGAACAGGGACACTAAGGTGATCTTGAAAGTTCAAAAATACACTTTTTGCAAGAGCAGCTATAATACAGCTGCACTTGGGGAACAGTTTTGCTCTTATGCCTTGTGTTTATGCAGTTTTTATGACCTTAAGGAAAGATCTCAAGCTGATCCATAGTTGAAAGATTATTTTCCTCCTCATAAATATGGCACGTAAGACTGACTACCCTGATTTACTGAAATCACTGAAAATGTCTTCAGTTTCTTCATGTTACAGATCAAAGCTGGGCAGCAGGGAGAGCTTTCCCCCTGTGTAAATGTTCTAGTTTTCATTTGGAGACATTAGGACTTCCTGGGAGATGCCAGACTGAAATGGTTTGGATGTGAAAAGCGTTATTTGGTTATTATCCAGACAATAGTGAGCCATTATCTAAATTGTTCTTTTTTGGGGGGGTACAATGAATGATGGAATTTTAGCAATTTCCTTTCCAAACCCACTGAAGTGGACTAAGTTTTGGACTAAACACTGTTGTGAGCAGATTGGAGACCCAGATAAAAGAAATTAAGAAGAGAGGTTGCTCTGTCTGTTCCTCTCTGTAATGTGTATACTTGAAATTTGAAAATCTGCTGCTCCAGATTCGCTGCTTGTTTCACAGACACAGTCATTCTTAAGTCCCCTTTTAACTTACTCTCCTCAGCAGGATTTCTTTTGCTTGCTAATTGCCAGCAGTGAAAATGTACGGAGCCAAATTGATGAGGAAGAAAAGGTTTTAAAACCAAAGTGGCTAAAAGAATTCCAGCCATTGCAAGGTGGGAGTACAAAAGGTTTTGGTTTTTATTTTATTTTTTATTTTTTAATTTATTTATTACAATAAAGAAAAGGTCTACTAATTCTACTGATGATAATTTAGCATCTCAGGAAATATTTCTGCAGATTCTTACAGTTCTAGTTCTCCCCTCTGGGGCTCTTTAAATAGGCACAAGATAGACAAACAAAATAAACATGGCAACTGAAACTTCTAGATTCATGTTAAATAGTACATATTTGCTATTTTTTCCAGCTCTGAATCACACTTGAGTGATTGGCTTGAGTAGAATGGCATGCAGTCCCCCTTGGTGGGGATAAAGATGGACACATATTCTAAAGCTACAGGTGAGTGCATTTCTTCCTCCTCCCCCCAATCATTTTAAATAGATATCTGTAAAATACAATGATAGATCTTAAGAAGTAGTTGTGCATTTCAAATTTTCTGCTGGGAGAATTTCTAACAATTTTTCCTTTTTTTTTTCTTTTTTTTTTTTTTTTTTGCGGGGGGGGGGTATTTTTTGTTTTTGTTTGTTTTGTTTGTTTTTACTTGGCGTATTACTTGCTAATATCTATATCTATTAACTGAAGTCATAGGCCAAGCTGGTATTGTTCTAAACGAAGACAGCAGTTGGCTGGCACACTTACAATGAGACACAACATTAAAACAAAATTTTAATTAAAAACAGCATTTTACAGAGAACTCTAATATTGCAGAGGTAAACTGGTGAGCCAACCAGGTTTTACAGAATTCTCTAGTATGTCAAATTTTCCATATTTCTAATATGTAGTTATATGTTATATGCATATAAATCTATATCTCTAAGGCTCCCCACTCTTGAAATAAGGACATAACCCACACTTATTCAGGAGACTTCTAGCATGACAGGTTTAAACCAGACTCCTTACTTAAAATTGTAAGATATGATTCCTGGATGAAAACTCAAGGGAATGTGGAGTAAAAGCATATATTTGCTATTCTACTGCATGTGACATTCATGAGAGCATTATCAATCATCGGGTCAAGTTTCATTCTGTTTCTAGAATGGGTTCAAGAAAGAACTGCAGGAGTGATTTAAAGTTAAGAATACATGCTTTCCAGCAAGGAATTAAAGAAAGGCCAGTGTACTCTTCTAGTACCCACTCAAGAATGTCTCAGCATGCTGAATTACAAGAAATCCTAGGAGAAATTTGAATCTAGTTTCAAATCAAAAATAGGACTTCTTTGTAACAGGATATAATGAATTAATGAAGCAATGTTATTAGGGATATTACAATTGAGGTCTGTCAAATTAACTTTTAGGGACCTGTCTTAGCTAAAACAAGAATGCTAGATTTCTTGCAAGAATTGCACCATGCCATTTTCTGACATTCAGAGCTTTCTGTGCTTTACTCAGTGAAGTTGAGAAGGTTTTACCGTATCATGTCCCTTTTTTACTCTCCAGTATTTTTCTGTGGCTACTTTTCTGTGATAGGATGATCACTTTTTGTTCCAGGAGATGAACAAGCTGAGATGCTTTAACTCTTGCATGAGAATTAGAATGAGGTCTTGTTGAATTCCTTTTGGGTTTGTTTGTTTTTCCACGCTCACTTTGAACTTTTGTATGTTTGAAAACAAGACACAGATACTGTGTATCTAACACAAGACTTGTTAGCATAGTGTATATATTCTTCAGCTTTAAATTCCCTTTTTGTATAGCCAAAGATTGCATTGGTCCTTTAGCAGTGGCAAGCTTATACAGCAGTACTTGTAGCTCATGAATCCTAAACGCTATTTTGTCAGAATGGGTCTTTCTCATAGCTTGACTGTTTTGTTCACATACTTATTTGACTGAATGTTTCTGTAATAAGAAATATTCATTGGCAAACAGATCAATCTTTGATGGTTATTTTACTTGTTTACTTGTTTATTATCTTCAAAAACTTATGTAAGCATGGCAGAGTTACTGATCATTTTATTTTAATCTGAGTTACTAAGGAAAACTCAAAAGACCGCTTGTCAAAAATGGTTCCTCATTAGGATCTGTTGATGGTTCCTATCAACATTTCAATTTGGTTCAACTTGAAATCCATTTTATTGCACAATCTATTCATTCAATTTATAAGTTTTCTTTAGTTAAGTAAAATGATTTGAAGAGTGCAAATTAGTGGAGATGACTTTACCAATCAGGCCTGCAATTGAAAAGAATAAGAGTAAGATTAAATGAAAATACAGGTTTTCATAAATGAAATTATGTTCATGAAAATACAAGATTTAAGCATAGAGAAATGTGTTAAATACCTTTAATTATTTTTATGAAGCTTGCTCCTCTTAGAGTCCTAAATAGGTATTTCCATTATTTGATTCCAGATCCATCAAGACAATCACTTACTGGTTCTCCAGGGACAACTGTCTTATCCCGTAGTTTTTGGATATTGAAAGGGATAGATATTGTTCCCACACACTGCAGAATCATGCTGGTAAGTTAACATCTCAGAAAGCCATAGAATATTTCCATCTTCATTGAGAGGCTGATATGCTTTCCTCATTAGGACAATTCCCTGAAAGGAAGCTGAAAAGTCTTGTGATAGGCTGACAGTCCTCTGAGTAGTTGTTAAAGAATGCTTCTCGGAGAATCAATTATTCCTGTTCTTTATGTGTAGTTTAGAAAGCAGAAGAAAACAGGAATGTACAAATATTAACGGGGAAGATTTAAAAAACCATTAGGTCCTAGGTCACACAACTTTTTCTCCAAAGGTCCCCAGAGTCTTGGAGAGCTCTGGTCAAATGAAATACCAGGTGTGAGGGCACAAACTGGCCTTTACTAAGCTATCTCCCCTCTTTAGGGAAATATGTGGTCTGTTATGTGTAGTTGTATAAGAAAAACATGGACTACTCTCTCCGCACCCCTGACAGCCTACAGAAGTGCCATCAGCAGTAAACGAGCATGCTAAGAAATCACAGCATATCTTACTCTGCTCTGAACCAATGAGGTATGGAAGGGGATGTAACTCCTTCCCTAAGCTCTTTTGCTGTGACTGAGACCGTTAATTTGCCAACTCACACAAAATGCTGAAAGGAAACTCCAGCTATCCCAAGAAAAGGAAATGCTGGTAATTCCTCCAAGATCTCAGTGGGCAAATTACAAATTTAATTTAAAATTCAACATGCATACCATCATCAAAACCTACTAGATTTTTTTTTTCCGTATCAGGTAAGTTTAAATTCTTTTTTTTTTTTTATATGGATTTACAAAGTGAAGGCAAAAAAAACACATAGTAAGAGGTGAGAAGCATTCTTGCTATGTGTTCAGAAATGAACCAGAAATAACACCCAAGTTGGGGAATTATTTATAGAAAGCAGAATCTGAAGAGAAATGCCAAGAGATGTCAAAACTGATTGAAACATGCAGTCTTGACAGCTCTGAAATTCACAGGCTGCCTGCCAGAATTTGTGCATGATGCTTTAAATTCTTAGCCACTAGGTTTGGCTATCAGTATGGTGTAGGGTGAAGGAAAATAAGAAACTATGAAATGTTTGTTACCTTTCCCAGTCTTGTGTAATATATACTATTAACCACTATATACAGTTGACATAATGCAACTAATGCAAGTCACTGAAATACCATCCTTTTCATTTAGGAAGAAAAAAAAAAAAAACACAGAAAAAAAAAAAAAACACAACAGTTTAAAATATATTTCAAAAGGATTAAATTAGACAAGTTTCCTGTGCAAAGTTGATTCTTGATTATGATGCTGAATAATGATTCATTCTTATCATTGTAACACTCCTCCCAACAAACAGAATTATACAGAGAAGAAGCACCAGGTGGGAATGATATACAACCACATGTATTCTCCTGTCAGGGTACATGAGTACTATGTCTTTGCACTGAAATCTTTGAAGTTACACTATTATGAAAAATGTATAATAAAAAGAGGATGAAATAGTTTTTTTTTTGTTTTTTTTTTTTTTTTTTTTTCCCCATTATAGACATAGATTAATTGCAGTTCTGTAACAGTTGCCACATAACATCAAGGTAACTGAAGCATATTACATAAGCCTTGCAATGCCACTGGCATATAAATATTATTACACTGCTTTTAATTTTTTAATCTACCTTATTGTTCTCCTTTCACAAAAAGGCAAACTGAATTGTACAATAGTTAACTGACCTATTTAAAGTTGTACAGTATCGTCTGTACAGTGGTACATCTAAAACTAGATCTCAGTTCATCTAACCCTGATGTCTGCATAAAGACCAATAAAATTACTTTCCTTCCTACAAAAAGAAAAATAAACAGGCTTCACACAATGACATATATATAAAAGATGATACATATAAAAGATTTGTCAGATGTAACACTGAAGTCATTCTTTCTTATTCAAGACCCATTATATTCCAAATCATCCTAGAGACTTACACAAAAGCAAGATACATTCCTTGTTCTTGTTTTCCTGTAAACTTTAGAAGAAAAGTATCTTAAATAAAAATAGGAATAGCAATTACCATTCTTCTACAATTTTAATTTGCATCAAGAACTCATGTAGAGATAGATAAAAATAAGTACAGAGATATGTTAGGAAGTATTCATCTGGTTTCATTTACTATACATTTCAAACTGGCGTTTTCAAAGAATATCAGTTATCTATTCATAACCATTTCTTAGAGTGGAAAAGTATAATAAGGGCAGATTTAGGAGTAATGCATTACAATTGCAAAATAGATTTTTCTACTGATTTGCTCCAAACAGAAGACAAATTAAACACTTCAATATTTCAATAATCATCAGAAATACCTTTCCAGTTTCAAGACTTAGATATGTAATCAATTTTATCTTTCTTTAATTATGTTTCATAGCATAACCTTCCGCTGACAGACTACTCAAGGCTTATGTCAACCAGAATAATAGGTTGCACATGTTATTGATTTAACTATCACTTCTAGAAACTGATCTTATGGTTTTATTAGACTGTTTTTTACAGTTACTTTAGGATAAGCTAATTCTACACATCTAAACAAATATAGATCATGTTCTCTTGAGATGTGCAATCATTATACCTTCCTTGTAACCATCTGTAATAATCAATTGAAATTACTGAGCATTCAAGTAGATATTCAGATGCCTTATATTGGAAGCGTTAAATATAGAAAGATGTAAGTTAAGAAAGTGTGTGCATATGAGAGTTCTTTATACAGAGCCATTTTATCTGAGAAGTGATCTCTTAAAGCTGTAACTACTTTCCATAGAGTTTCTGACTCATACAGATTTTGTTCCCCCTATTTCAGTTTCAGTTCATTTTCAAGAACTAAGGACATTGCTTAGGAACACTGAATGAACCTAAAATGCATGATGCCATGTATATAATCACAGTCATATTATTGTGTTCATTCTGTTCATGGCACTCAGGCCCCTGCTAAAACCCTCATTTTTAGTGTTCACATTGAAGCAGGCTTTCTTTTTCTACCCATACTTCAGTAGCGTCTGTGCAGGTTGCCCTCTGCAACTGGCATAGTTTGTAAAGGAACAGAAAATCTCCCAGAAGGACACCTCAGGGACTGTAAACTAAACACTACTTCTGGATTGTCCTCTGGCATATCTCAGTTCTTTTTATAAATAAGGAGCTTTTAGGGATTGCCTTCAAATATCAGTTTTGTGATTAACCTTAAAAAGCACTTTATCACAGTACAAAAATCATTGAAACATTCAGAATAGATTCATGACCAGAACTAAACAGCTTTCAGATTCCTAATAACGTCTTCTGCTGTTATGATTTTAATTTGCATAGATTTTGGTTTTGATTTAATTAATAAGGAATAATTTTCAAAGCCTTAATTAACACCATGATAAAATTTATGGTGTTTCTGAGATATTAAGGAAATAGTGTCTTTTTCAGGTTAACAGTTAGAACTAGCATGCAAAGGACTACCTTCTACATACGGCATACAAGTCCTCTATACCTGCTTAGAACATATGTAGGAGAATGAGGCAAAATGCTAAGCACTCAGAGTATTGAGTATTCTGAAAAAAATGTTGCCTTTGCTTGCCTACTGCAGCTGTGGGTACCTATCATAATCACCCTCATGCTGTAAGGATACAGCCTAGTCTCCTGGACTGGTACTGAAGTACTTAATCATGCAATTGGCCTTTATCCTCTTGCAGTGAGGTAGTCTCACTGACGACCTCCAACAAACTTTCTAAAGGTTATACAATTAACATTGTCTGTCCTGAGTGCAGAAAGAGGACAGTTGAAAGGATACAGAAAAAACAATCTGGACAGAATTATTAGATATACCTAATGGTTACATCAATATCAGCCAAATGAAAATTCAGTATCATGAATGTGCTCTCCATGATGAAGGGAAATGGTGAATGATCCTCTTATTTGTGCTGGGATACAGGTCAAGAGGGAGCCTAAAAAAGAAGATTGCTAGAACCAATTCTGGTAAGAAAATTTCTGATGTCTAAGACTAATTGTAGAGAAAATAGTATTTTTAAAGTGCGTTATATTGTATCCTTGAAAATACAGTAAAACTCATTTTGTTTGCCATAGTTTTCTTTCTTCTTTGGTAGATATGTTAAAGATTTCAGATTTTTATTTCCTAGCATAATTTGAAGGTTTTGACTGATTTTTTTTTTTATTATTATTATTATTACATTCTTTTTGTTCTGATTTAAAGTTTTTCAGAAACTAAAACTTTATGTTAAACGTTGCTTTTTTGAAAAATTTGATTGAAACTGCCTTAGTTAATATTTAAATATCTTTTTTTCTATACTCCTAATTCTGTGCTCAATAAAGTAAAAATAATAAGAATTTTGTGTTGATGTATACCTGTGTTTTCTGTCTTCCTTCTGCTTTTAAACTCCTCACCTGTGTGCTCTTGAATAAGGATTCAGACTCCTATATTGTGGATTTTTGATCTTTATCTCCAGGTTCATGTGAGCACACTTGTATCTTGTACTATTTACTGTGTGCCTACAATATCTTTCTGCTATATGTAGATGCTCATTTAAATCTAAGAGATTGTAATTAGTAAATAAATTTTGCTCCACTGAGGTGAAGAGATGCCTGTCAAATTATACAAGTTGAAGTTGTTTCCACTGAAAGCATGAAATGCTGTTCTGCTGGGCTGTTTAGGGCTCTAAACCCAGAAACAGTTTTGATAACCCTTCAAGCTCAGGTGTGCAAATGGTCAGATGTATAGTGGTGTTTACATGCCAAGCCATACAAACACTTGGCTGACTCTGTCAGGCACCAGTGTCTTCTTTTACAAAAGACCAAGAATCCACAGCAATGACGTACCTTTAAGAACTCTTCCATGATTACAGCCGTTTTTCGTCCCAAAGTCTCAGCTCATCTGTTTCTCTCATTTGAAAGTTCTGGGGATTTCTGACGGGTAAGGAAAAGGTGAATATTTTTAGTTTCATTTTTTATGTTTCCTATGTTTAATTTTCTTCATTTTTTTTTTTCCTTAATAGAGTTGAATAATTAATGGAGTTCCTGCCTCCTAACTTTGTAGTACAAACCAGTGAATCATTATAGATCTTTCAGTGTTACTGTTAGGAAAACTGGGAACTACCTTCAAAAACCTCCTATTATGGGTAAGTAATTTGATTTCTCTTCCCCATAAATCATTCTTTTTTAGAATATAAAATTAAAGGGATTTCTTGACATTTACCTACCTTTACCTAGGAAGAAAACAAAACTGAAAGACACTTCTTTTATGTTTGTTGTACTAAAACTTCGCATATATTTTCAAATTAGATGTCTACAAGCTTTATAATAAAAATAAAATTAAGAAAATAAAAAGCTATTCTGTGAAACACTCTGAAACATAATTTCTTTCTTTGCAGTTACTATGAGATGCTGATGAAATGTCAAGAAGATGATGTCTGTCTCATCTTCTGAATATAAAGTTCTTGACAACTGGAATCTTCTCATGTAATAATATGTAGGCTTGGTTTGAACACTGCTTTCCATAACATTCAGAAAAATATGAACTTTACTTCTGGAACTCAACAAGTGTTGAGTTCAAATATGAAAATATTTGTATTGACTTCCAACTTATTGCAGCACTTTCTTGGAGTCAGTCTCACTGAAGTTACTGACAAAATTTTAAACACTTAAACAACATGTACAATTTTGTGTTGTTTTATTTGCTTATACTTTTTGCTTACTGCTGTTTCTGGTTTAAAATAGTGTTAATAACATAGGAAACAGGTTTACAATGGTCAAATCACAGCAGATTTTTTCATACTTTTCTACATTGATAACTTCAGCAAAATAGCTACAAATATATTGGAAATCAATGTATGTAGCTTGTAGATTTGCTTCGTGTTTTCATATTCTAATTCATTCTCTTGTATTTCTTCATAACATTATTTAAACCCAACAATGTTCTTATATTGGCAAATTATGATACAGATTTTATCTAACCTGCTGTAACATCTTGTCCCTTACTAACATCTTAAAGTTCACCTTATTGTTTGATTATGTAGTGGACTCAGAGGTATGTTAATTGGTTTAGAAAAGTGAAAGCCTATGTATATATAAGCCTATTCTTTAATTATGAGACCTAAATGTAGCTGTATATATTGTACGTATACATTATATCAATTTATTCAATGTCAGTTGCTTTAAGAAAATTCACTTGCTTTTCATCATACCAGAAGCCTTTCTGGTTCTTCAGCTCCCCCTTCTAAAATAGTATTTTGAAAATATCTTGTAAGTTTTGTGAATAGGTCAATTTTCATAGCTCTTTTTGCTAAAAATGATCAAACTGAACAAAAATGAAATCTGAACTCAGATTGCCATGACAGGTTGTTGTCCATGAATTGGCAACTGAAAGAATAGAAAAGATCTGTGAAATGTATCAGTGGCAGTAATCACTATTTAAATTATGTTGCTTCTTTCTAGGTAGTGGGATTGTTTTTTTACAACTGTGGAAGTGTTATGATAACTAAACAATTTAAAAGTTGCATTAAAATTGTTCTTTTTTTTTTTTTTCTTTTTCTCAATGTGGTAGGTGCTGTGCTCTAAAGAACAGACAAGGTTTTGCATAATCATGCTTATTTTGGTGTCACGTACTGCTGTTTTAGGCCTGTTCAATATAAAATCTGACTTTTAAAATGTAGATTTCTTAATTATTTTTTTTTACGTCAATGAAATACAGATAATAGCTTGTAGGATCTATTAATTGCTGTAAAGAAAACTAAGAGGAATGGAAAAATGGCAAGACCGGTGAAAGCAGTGAGGTAATCAAATAGAAATGCTCTTAGAAATACTGACCTTGTGCTAATACATAGAGCATCAAAAGGGTTTAAAAGGAAAATGGTTATTCATAGTTACTTATTTCTGTTTTGCTATCTTTTCTATGAAATAGAATTTTTGTTTAATTTTGGAAGTTTTACATAATTTGTAGCGATCTTTCTCTGTCCAATGCTTCTTCAGGGACACTTGAATGATAATTTTATACCTCCAGACTTTGTTAATATTCAAAGCAGAGTTACCCAGAACATCTTCTGTGTAATTACTAGTTTCTAGATTTTAGAGTTCCATGGATCCCAAGTATGATTTCTTTGGTAAGAAAAAAGAAAAATCTGTAATTCTACAAATCACAGTACAATTTAACAAGAATTAAGTTGATCTTCAATATCTGTCACTAGAAATCTAAAGCACAAGTTAGTTTATTCTGCTTGAGAGACTTGGAAAAATAAGTTGTATTTTGTGCTACATTTTGTTAAGAACACTGTAGTGTAATATTAAGTAATATGTAAGTAAAGCTGAATATGTGGCCAGAGTTGAGAAAAAACTAGGTCTGCAATATAGAGAGAGTGGTAATTAAAACTTCTGTTTGGGGTAACAGAGAGCATTCAGTTAGTGCCTGTCTGCTCACTTCTGTTATTTTTAGGTACTTGTTAGGTCACAGATCAAATGTGCTAGATATACAATAGATAAATTTTAAACTTGAGCAAGGCAGATGCATAATGTTTTACTTAACTTTTATGAAATGCGTCTTAGATTACATTTTGCTGGGGTCCAGAAAAAGATTCCCAATAAAGGAATCTTATCTTAAAGAACATTCTGTTAACTGGGTATTCATATTTTTTAGAGAATGAATTAATTTAAATGCAATTGAAAGGCATTTTGAAGACTACAAGAACTGACCAATTTCTAAACAGATGCAGTTACCTGTGGTGCAGTTACAGTTTACCTATAGAAGCGTATATTTCACTCTGAACAAGAACGCTGTGTGCTTCTCCAATGTTTGACACTGCCTTCTAGCTCCTAGTAACAACAATATTTGGAGTCAAAAAGCTGACACCATTCAGAAAAATTGCAGTGATCCTAATGCAACTCATTGCAAAGGTTGTCTCTTAAGGTCCTGAATACCCTGTATGGGATTGGTATTTGAATGATGTTTCTGACTTTGAGTTGCTCAGGACACTGGTTGGTGGAGTCCCTTGGGAGGCGGTTCTGAAGGGCAGAGGAGTCCAGGAAGACTGGGCGCTCTTCAAGAAGGAAATCTTAATGGCACAGGAGCGGTCCGTCCCCACGTGCCCAAAGATGAGCCAGCGTGGAAGAAGACCAGCCTGCCTCAACAGAGAGTTGCAGCTTGAGTTTAGGAGAAAAAAGATGGTTTATAATCTTTGGAAAAAAGGGCGGTCCACTGAGGAGGACTATAAGGATGTTGCGAGGCAGTGCAGGGAAAAAATTAGAAAGGTCAAAGCTCATCTGGAGCTCAATCTGGCTACTGCCATCAAAGACAACAAAAAATCTTTTTACAAATACATCAACATAAAACAGAGGACTAAGAACAATCTCCAGCCTTTACTGGATGCAGGGGGAAACCTAGTTACAAACGATGAGGAAAAGGCGGAGGTGCTTAATGCCTTCTTTGCCTCAGTCTTTAGCGGCAATACCGGTTGTTCTCTGGATGCCCAGTACCCTGAGCTGGTGGAAGGGGATGGGGAGCAGAATGTGGCCTTCACTATCCATGAGGAAATGGTTGGCGACCTGCTACGGCACTCGGATGTACGCAAGTCAGTGGGGCCAGACGGGATCCACCCGAGGATACTGAGAGAACTGGCAGAGGAACTGGCCAAGCCGCTTACCATCATTTATCAACAGTCCTGGCTATCGGGGGAGGTCCCAGTTGACGGGCAGCTAACAAACGTGACGCCCATCTACAAGAAGGGCCAGAGGGCAGACCCAGGGAACTATACGCCTGTCAGTTTGACCTCAGTGCCAGGGAAACTCATGGAGCAGATTATCTTGAGAGTCATCACGTGGCACTTGCAGGGCAAGCAGGTGATCAGGCCCAGTCAGCATGGGTTTATGAAAGGCGGGTCCTGCTTGACGAACCTGATCTCCTTCTACGACAAAGTGACGCATTTGGTGGATGAGGGAAAAGCTGTGGATGTGGTCTACCTTGACTTCAGCAAGGCTTTTGACACCATATCCCACAGCGTTCTCCTCAGGAAACTCTGCTTGTGGCTTGGACTGGCACACGCTTTGTTGGGTTAGAAACTGGCTGGATAGCTGGGCCCAAAGAGTCATGGTGAATGGAAGCAAATCCAGCTGGAGGCCAGTCACTAGTGGCATTCCACAGGGCTCAGTACTGGGGCCATTCCTCTTTAATATCTTTACCGATGATCTGGATGAGGGCATTGAGTGCACCCTCAGTAAGTTTGCAGATGACACCAACTTAGGTGCATGTGTCAATCTGCTCGAGGTTAGGAAAGGCTCTGCAGGATGATCTGGATAGGCTGGACCAATGGGCTGAGACCAACTGTATGAAGTTCAACAAGGCCAAGGGCCGGGTCCTGCACCTGGGGCACAACAACCCCAAGCAGAGCTACAGGCTGGGAGAGGAATGGTTGGAAAGCTGCCAGGCGGAGAATGACCTGGGAGTGATGGTGGATATGAGCCAGCAGTGTGCTCAGGTGGCCAAGAAGGCCAACAGCATCCTTGCTTGCATAAGAGGCAGTATGGCCAGCAGGTCAGGTCTAGGGAAGCAGTTGTCCCCCTGTACTCGGCTCTGGTGAGGCTGCACCTCAAGTACTGTGTTCAGTTTTGGGCCCCTCACTACAAGAAGGACATAGAGGTGCTTGAAAGAGTCCAGAGAAGGGCGACAAAGCTGGTCTGGAGAACAAGTCTTACGAGGAGCGGCTGAGGGAGCTGGGTTTGTTCAGCCTGGAGAAGAGGCTCAGGGGCGACCTTATCGCTCTCTACAGGTACCTTAAAGAAGGCTGTAGCGAGGTGGGGGTTGGTCTGTTCTCCCGTGTGCCTGTTGACAAGACGAGGGGGGAATAGGCTAAAGTTGCACCAGGGGTGTGTTAGGTTGGATATTAGGAAGAACTTCTTTACCGAAAGGGTTGCTAGGCATTGGAATGGGCTGCCCAGAAAAGTGGTTGAGTCACCATCCCTGGAGGTCTTTAAAGGATGTTTAGATGTAGAGCTTAGTGATATGGTTTAGTGGGGGACTTGTTAGTGTTAGGTCAGAGGTTGGACTCGGTGACCTTGAGGTCTCTTCCAACCTAGAAATTCTGTGATTCTTTGAGAAGATTAACTCATCTTTTCATTTTACTCAGTCTCATGATATTTTTATGTTACTGTCCACCCACTAGCATACGGTATTGCTATTGGGTTGAGTCTGAACTTTCTATACTGTTCAGTTACAGAAAATGTGGTACATCTGGAAAATTCTTCTTCCTTTTATTAAATTAAAACTTGTAGTTACAGCGCTCGATGATTAATGCCATATGTGATGTTTTGGTTTTGCAAGTCTTTCAAAGCTGGGGGATTTTTAGGAAAAATAAAGAATCTTTTCCCCTATTTTTATTTCAACTTAATAGACTTTATTCTGCCAACCAAGAGAGGATGACAGCCAATTTAAAATGTCAGATCCTTACCTTCATTTTGACAGTTAACCAGGTTAAAACTGCCTTAAATCTCACCTCACAGAAGTAGCTCATAGAGATGAGTGCACAAACTTAAGCAGAAACCTTAAAAAAGAAAAATGAATGTGGATACTGCATTTCTACTCATTTTATTTTTTTTCCTAGATTGGTCCTTTGGTACATACTGTAGCACCACACACTGAATTAGCTGCTGAGCAATGTTCAGGTCAGATAGGAAACTGAAAACAAAACAAAACAAAACAACATGGTGGCTTAAATTTGCCCAGGTCTCCCATTCCTGGACTACACGAAGTTTTCATTCAGCACAGCAATAAACATGGGATTTGCTTACACTGTCTTCTGCTACCCCCTGGATGTGCTTTGAGCATCACGGATCCTAAGGTGCACAGGGCATATCTTGGACAAGGTGAGTCAGTTTTCTTTCTTTGCACCGTGTAACATAGAGCTATGGTTATTGAACAGGAGTATCAGGGGTTCTGCAAGGTGGGGCACAAAGCATTTGACCTTTATTTCTATTATCTGAACATTTTAGCTCCTTGCAAACCACCCTGTGTTTTCCTGGCTAGCAGTTCTCTGGATTTCAAATGAATCATTGACCAAAAAAAAGCAGATCCTAATTACTTAGATCCTTTTTTGTTGTTGTTGTTCTCTGATTGTTTAACGGGTATGAAGTGTTACTATTGATTTCCATGGGAACAGGAAAGGGCGTGTGTTATCCAATGCATACTGAAAATCCTATGACAGTTACTGGAAGGAGAAAAGACATGCTAACTCTCTTTAAATTGCAGGATGTAAATTGTGTATTAGAACAATTATGCCTCAGGGTGAATGTGTAAGTATAATGATACTGAAACTTGGCTTCTTTTCAAAATATACAAGTTTATGACAGTTTGGTATTGAAAAAGATAGTGATTCACATACGTAAAAAAAAAAAAAAAAAAAGCTGAGCAAAAATGTCAAGGTGTGACAGAGGGCAAGCTCAAATTACTTCTAATAAGAAAAAAAATGTTAGTTTTCAGAAGAATAATTTCTGGGTCTCTTCTTAGGAATATATTTATATCATTAAAATATCATTCATGTATTAGAAGTAATTATAAGTTAGATGAAATAATTTTTAAAACTTGGAAATATGTAAGGAAGCTTCCTACTCTGCACATTTACCACACATGGAAACAGTTTATAATATGGCAGGTAGGAGTTAATGGTCAGTTTTCTTGCTGGAAAAGGATTACCATGGAGTCCCACTGGGATGTATTCATCAATGATCCGAGAAAGTGAATGAACAGTGAAGTGACACAGTTTGCTAAGTTATTCAGCATAATGAAGACAAGGGTAATGACAAAAAAGATGCAGAAGGCTCTCTCAGGGACTGATGGTAAAGTAGAAGATCAAGTTCCATGGTGCTATGCACAGTGTGATAAACATAGGAAGAAAAAGAATTGTAACTTAACATACATAACACTAGGTACTGAAGTAACTCTTGCACTGAGAATCCTGTTGCTGAGTAGTACAAGAAAATGTTATATGATATTCAGCTTAACTTTCCTCTATAGTCAAAACCCAAATACTTTATTTTCAAAAAAGAGAGAATAAAGTGGAGGACATTGTTGGCCACTATATGTACATCTGCCACATGACCTCAGTTTGAACACTGATGGTCTGCTCCACCTTCTCAGCTTTACAGTAAAATGTAATAGTATAGAGATAGCATAATAAAACTCCGTAAGATACAAAGAAAGGTGGTGAGGGTAAGGAGAGGTTGGGACAGGTTTTGTTGTATGTATTTGGGAAAATTCAGTTATGAAAAATGGGGAAAAGGAGGTGGGAATAAAGTATGTAAACAATAAGGTACCTGCACTGCTGTGCTCACACAGGGTTAGTTATAACTGACCAGTCAAAATCACACTGTTTTCTAGACCATATCAAACTAGCTTGATTATTAGTTTATGCCAATATCACTACACTTACAAAATATATGTATATATAATTTAGGACAAATTGAAGAAGAAAAATAAACAAACATGCTTTTTACCTTATCTCAATTTTTATATTTTTATGTATCTTTGATCTCTATCTTCCACCCCCCTCTACCCTCGCTTTCCCCCTCCCCCCCACACACACACACTTTTTTTTTTTTTTTTAAATCAGGTTACTCATACCACCAGTTGCTTCAGTTCTTTTGTGGAAAATGTGTTTTAAAGCAACATGAAATACGTGCAAGACCCTGAAATATATGAGCTTCTTACTGCTCTTAGACTTAAAAGTCAGAGTACTTTTTATCTGCAGCTGAAGAAAGTGGGACTTAAGATACACTTAACTATGAAGAATCTAGATTTATTTTCAGGACTGGTTGAAATGGTACGGGTTCAGAAATGCACAGTATTGCTTTGATTTTTAATTTTACTTGGTTTGGAGAATCTTTGAAGTCGGTGTGGTTAAAAACTAGCCTAGAAGGATGTGTTAAGAGCAGCTGCACTTGCCATCAAATGAAGATTATGTGGATATGCTTAGCTGGTTCTGGCAGTGATTGCTCTTGAAAATCACCATCCGTCTT